TAAACAGCATTGTTTTTAAAGAATAATATTTTTTTATACATCAATCTCAGTCCATATTTATATACTTTAAATTTCTTTTTTTGACAAATAAATAAATTTATCCTTTGCTTTAGTATATTCGAATAGATTTTATTAGATCAAATGATAAATTACAAGAACTCAAGTGTATCAATTACGCGAAAACACACAATAATAATAATAAGTATACAAAAAAAAATATTAGTATTAGCAGAATATGCATGCAATATGTCACATTAATGTTGCTTGAAATAGAAAATTTCGTGATTAGGTGGATTAATTATTGTGAAAAACTATGAATCACAAAAAATCATCGCCCCTATAACCTCAGGTTACATAAAAATCATAAATCTATCTATATATATATTGACACCATTTGATTTCATCAATATTAATAGTATTCATCTGGCTTCGTTTCTTTTATTCCAACAGACAAGACTAAATCAACCAATTCACTAGTTAGGTTATAAAGAAATTAGATTTTAAGATTTCAAGTATGCAGCAAGCAGTAACACGAACATGATAGATATAGTATTACAAAGATTTATTTTTGAATTCATTAAAAAAAAAAAAAAAAAATGTTTTCTTTAAAATTTACACACCATCTTAAATCTTCTTTAACACGTTCTAGCCTGCTTTTTTCGCGCTCAATTGCTACAGAAGCTTCTGCTAATAGCACTGGCGGAGGAGGTGTGAGTTTTTCATTATCGGAAGAACAACGAGATTTTCAAGAGCTAGCAAAAAAATTTGCTACTGAAGAAATTATTCCAAAAGCAGCTCATCATGACCAAACTGGCGAATATCCCATGGATATAATCAAAATTAAAGGAAAGAGGGAGGAAATTGATAGCGAAATTTTATGAGAAAAAAATAATAATAATAATAACAATATTCCAATAAAAGGGGGCTATATATATATGTACGCGAATACACTGATCGGCAGAAATTATTATTAATTAATTTTTTTTTTTAATATATGCATGTCAGCCAGAACTAACTTGTTAAGACAATGCTTTGATAAAACAAAATACACACGATAAACCGGTATTTTTTATTATCTACTCGTCATTATGAGAACCAATCAGATTTTACATGGTGCGAACTTTGATTAACTTTTTTATCCATAGAAGTTCCATTTCATCAATCACTTTTTTCTCTCTTATTCACTTGAAGATAAGTTCTTTTTTATAAAAAAGAATTAAACATTTTTACATGAGCGGTCCCAAAGAGAGAATGTGAGATTGGTTGATATTGATCAGAGAAATATGAGGTGTTAGATTGCATAAAAAAAAAATTTTATCTTACATCAGTATTTAGTGTTAAATTGGTTAACGTGATTACGTCATTGTGGGAACCAATCAGACTTTACATGGTGTGAACTTTGACCATTAAAACTTGCAAGGACGCTTTTAACAAGAATCAAAATTAGTTTTTGCATAATAGAAAATTCTTCCGTTGCTTTCACTTCTTTTTTGTAAAAAGGATTACTATTTTTGCATTTACATGGTGTGAACTTTGACCATTAAAACTTGCAAGGACGCTTTTAACAAGAATCAAAATTAGTTTTTGCATAATAGAAAATTCTTCCGTTGCTTTCACTTCTTTTTTGTAAAAAGGATTACTATTTTTGCATGGGCGGTCCCAAATGAGAAAAATATTAGGTTGGATGATATTGATCAGGGAAATAAGAGGTGTTATTTTGATTATATAAAAAAATTTTTATCTTACATCAGTATTTAGTGTTAAATTGGTTAACGTGATTACGTCATTGTGGGAACCAATCAAATTTTAGATGTGCTATTAAAACTTACAAGGGCGTTTTTAAAAAGGGTCAAAATTTAGTTTTTGCATAATAGAAAATTCTTCACTTGAAGGTAAGTTCTTTTTGTAAAAAAGGATTAACATTTTTGCATGGGTGGTTCCAAACGAGAGAAACATTTGATTGGATGATATTGATCAGAGAATAAAAGGTGCTACTTTGATTGCATATATCAAATATTAGTCAGTATTTAGTGTTAAATTGGATAACGTGATTACGTTGTTGTGAGGACCAATCAGATTTTACGTGGTGCAGGCTTTGACCATTAAAACTTGCAAGGGCGTTTTTAACAAGGGTCAAAATTTAGTTTTGGTGTAATAGAAACTCTATATACCTCAGCTGCTTCAACTTTTTTATCCATTTCATCAATCAATTTCTTTTCCTCTTCTTTACTTGAAGATAAGTTCTTTTTTGTAAAAAAGGATTAATATTTTTGCATGGACAGTTCTAAAAGAGAGGATATGCGATTGGATGATATTGATCAGAGGAATAAGAGGTGTTACTTTGACTATAAAAAAAAATTTTTTTATCACACATCAGTCAGTATTGAGTGTTAAATTGGATAACGTGATTATATTGTTGTGGGAACCAATCGGATTTTACGTGGTGCGGGTTTTGACCATTAAAATTTGCAAAGAGCGTTTTTAACAAGGACCCAAAATTTAGTTTTTGTAAAATAGAAAACTCTACCTCAGCTGCTTCAACTTTTTTATCCATTAAAGTTTCTCACTTCTTTACTTGAAGATAACATCAGGATCTTAAAAATCAAATTTACATCATGTTGATTTGTGTTTATCAGCTATATTCTATTGTACTGCTTTTAAATTGAGTTGTACAACTTTAAATATTGATTAACATCACATTGTTAAATGAAATTAGTTTTACAATGCAAATTATAGTAGTAAGTTTAAAGTTTAATATACTTTAAATTTTTTTAAAAAATTCTAAACTTTTTTAAAACCTTTTTAAAACCTTTTTTCTATTCATTTCATACTAAAATTCTCCTTTAACATATTATTTACTGCACAACAACTGACGAAGAAGGCACGTTTTATTTTTCAGCATTGAAAGGATAATACTTTTCAACAACATTTCATAGATTCTATGAAATATTCATATACACTGAAGCAATTCCTAAAAGTGTGCTGTATTGCTTTCAGATGTGTTTACGAAGATATATCAAGCACGAAATCAGTATCATTTGATTACTAAAACTTCATCTAATGGTGGCATTAACCAGTGTTCGAAATTCGACTGCGCCTTTACATAAACTAATCTAATTTTAGAAATTATCTGCGGTTAATTTCCATATTTGGTTAGTGCACACCGATTCCGCCGATTGAATTTCGAACAGTGGTATTAACTCATACAAATTGCCTTCTTTAGTTTATGAAATAACTGATAGTCACCTTCCAAAGGCTTTGTTACTTCTAGGAATCCATCTACAAATATTTTTTACGATTACGTATATTGTGATTATGCTAACTATACTAATTTGAATAATTCTAGTGTATATACTCATGGACATGGTTATTACAATCATTGTCGACGAAGGTGCCAATATAAATGTTTGATATCTTTGACTATCTTCAATTCGAAATCACTAAATTATTCGCTCAATAGAAAGCCAACAATTCAGTTACAATCAAAACTAGTGATGGTGGTGAAATTCAAGTTATAACGCTTAAGATAAAAATAAAAGATTAAACAAAAATGAGTTTATCAAAAATATCAAAAATATCAAACATACAGTTGATGATGATCTGGGTAATGTTGAATCAGCAATAAATGATGCAACAATGGAAATTTTATTAGAACATGTAAAAAAACCATTTTTGGGGTTGTAAATTTTTGATTTTTTCATGTTTTGTCTTAATCGGTATATCTTAAATATTGATTGTGTTTACAATCATTTTGTTGACATTCATTATATTAAGGTTATTTTGATTATATCAAGAGATATGGTCAAGAGAAGAGTTAGGAAGAGAGTTATTCTTCAACCAAGTCAAAAACCAACCCTTTAAATACATTTTCGAGTAGTACAATTTAATTTATTAGACTATTTCAAAGGTTTGTCACATGGTTGCTTCCAACTTCTTAAATTCAAACCATTTGTTAACGAAACAACTGTTAGTGAAGTGATTGTTGACAACATGAATCAAACCAACATTTATTTTTACGTTATCAAATACATGCCTGTTCTTATTCCTCCACTCAAACAAATAATTGTTCACATCACAATGAATGCTATTTGGAATGTAATTGTTTTTTATGTGTCGATTCTTAGTGAATGTTCTGGTCTTGGAACAGTTTTTGTTTATCAATCATTTACAAAAACTTTTGTGACATAATTATTATTATTTTTATACACAAAAAAAATATAACAAAAAAATGAAATATTATGGGCAATGCCCAAAGAAACTTTATAGTTGATCTAATGTTACGGTCATTTAATACTGTTTGAATCAGTATTTCACAATTACAATTTTGTGGTTTCTGTGGGGGTCGTGGTGTTCCTTGCAAGACTATTTCTATGTCAAGTTTGACTTTACTTAGATTGTCGGTAAAGTGTCCTGTCAGTAAAGTGTCATGTCGGCAAAGTGTCCTGTCAGCAAAGTGTCCTGTTGGTAAAGTAGGTGTCAGTAAAGTGTCCTATCGGTAAAGTGGGTGTCGGTAAAGTGTCCCAGACCCATATATTTCAGTTTTGGCAACAGTTTAGGGTTTCAGCAAGGTTTAGGATTTTACAAATTCCCTAAACTAGTTTTGGGAGGTTTCTGTTTCTGGTTTTTCCTAAACTTGGAGTTTCAGGTCACATCATTAGTGATGATACTTCAAAAATGGATGATAAGGAAACTACAAGCAATCAGGATAATAATTTCATTTTTTTTCTTTAGAAAGAAGGTTAATTAATTATTTCTGTTATTATAAATTTTACTTATTATTATTTTAATATTTTCTCGGTTATGTCAAAACTATAATATTTATGAAATAGGAATGTTATATAGGTGGTGAATGTAAAAATTGTAAAATACATAAAATGAATGAGAAGAAATTGGGATGCCGGAGAAGATACTTTATATGCAAATGATCACAATACTCAAATGTTATCATTTGCTGGTATTGATATTAAGTAGCAAAAAAGAGAACATACATCATTCTATAATCAATTACAGTATTAAAACAATGAAGAACTCTTGATGAGAAAGGTTGAGCTGAGTATGATTTTTTTTTTTGACTAGCTTTTTTGAATTATTGTAAAATTAAAATTTTACAGAATATTAATGCATTAGTAAAAATAAAATTAAAAAATATCATTATTAGAGCTTTTAAATGAATATTCTCTTGTATTAAGCGGAACTCTCATGCCTATTCAAAAACGGGCTACTTTTCTTCAAAATGAGATGATTTTATGGGCAGGCGCAAAACCTATTTTAATATATGGGGGTGAGATTTCTAGGAACATGTGGTTAAGGACCTCTTTGACTTTTTTTGGATAATATAAAGATTCGCAACTAGTAATCATGTTTGCTTAATAATGAGTTTAATTCGGTATAGTTTTTTAAAGACATTAATATTCGGATACTGTTGGCTTGGGAATATTGGCCTAGTCGCTGTTTGGCAGTTAATTCTGCTTGTTTTTTTTGTTGGGTGTATCTTTGTGACGTATAAGACATTGAAAATTTAGTATAAAAAAAAAACATATAACATAATTTTGCAGGGACTTGAGAAAAATTATTATTAATAATAACTATTATTATTGAAATAACATTTTTATTAGATCTGATAATTATTCATTGGTTCATATGCATGATATCAATCAAGACTTGTCCATTTCTTTTAGACTTTTTGATTTAAGAAATTTATTCGTTTATGACATTGCCATCTACTCTCAGGCAGTCAAAGCCAAAAATAAAATGGTTAACGATTTCCAGGTAGAAAAGTTCAAACACAATGCAACAGAGT